CATGAGTTCAGGCTGAGGTGTCTCTTCTGCATTCTCTACTGTGAAGCTAGAATTCATTGAGCTTCTCTGCAAACACCTCATTGTCCTTTAAGTGCCACTGTAATTCCATTGTCATCCAGTCGCTCAACTGATTCTTTACCTGGTTTTTTTTCTTCTGATATACTTAAACATGCTTTATTGCTGTCCTTGATGTTGTTAGCAATATGATCCTTAAAATGTTTCTTTGCTTCTCTTCTAGTCTGCTTGCATCTCCCTTGCGCAAACTTGTGCTCCCGTTTGCTTTCCTGATTTGGGCAAGATGTATATTTCTTGAAGGAAGCTTTCTTCTCTCCAATAGCTTGACTCTATATGCTAACCATGCGCCTTTGCCTGGGCACTACCTTTCCTCACTAGTGCTGTGCACATTATTTGTGCCTCTATTATAGTGGTTTTGAGTAATTTTCAAGCATTTCAAGGGGGTTTACTCCTCCAGACTCCCCTCTCCAACTACTTCAGCTCAATTTTAAAGAAATGCCCACTTTTAAAGTCAAGTGCAACTCCATTTGACCTTTTTAGTAGTCCTCTACCTGTGTCTTAAATCTGACAGCACTGTAACCACTGTTTCCAATCAGTTCAAGAACGTCTACATTCCTTATTACACCATGGGCAAATCCAGGATGGCCTCCTCTGGTTGGTTCCATAACCAACTGCTCTGAGGCACAGTGGTTTAGGATGCTGAGAAATTTAACAACTTTCTCAGAACAAGAACGTACATTTTTCTAGTCCGAATGGATTCACCTATTATTACAACACTGCCTTTCCTGGAGGCCTCTCAGATTTCATTTCCCATCTTAAGATCGCCATGAGCATTCCAGTCTGGAGGAGAGCAGCATTTTCCTAGGAATACATTAGTCTTGGAATCAGATGTTGTCACCCACAGTGCTTCTGTGAAGGAGTTTGCACACTTCAGAGTACCACGTCAGCTGGACTCCATGCCTTCTTTAATGTAGAGAGGAACATCTTGCCCTAACCTTCCCTGTTCTTCCTATACAGTTTATATCCCAAGATGACCATATCCCATTAGTTTTCTCCATTTCATCCGGTTTCCGTGATGCCCAGTATATACACTTTCCCCTTGAAAACCAGGCACTCCTGTTCTATTTAAACCTCACACTACTTAATATAAGTGAACTACGTTAACTGCAATAGGACCTTTTCAGACAACACAAAATGCTTTACTGCAGATATGACAAACTTAGAAGAAATAGAGTGGCTCTAATCCTGGAGCAAGATGTGGCGCAGGCTAGAAGAGGCTACCCTGCAAAGTTCATCCAAATCAAATTGATCAGAATTATCGACGTAACTATCATTCAAATCTACATTCCAACAACAGATACTGAAGAAGAAATTGAAAAAATATATATTCAAGTGCATAAGATGAAAAGGATAACACACCAGACAAGGCATGTCAATCATCTTAGGCGACCGGAATGCAAAAGTAGGAAACAAGGCAGAAACAAATGCTGGAGGATTTTGTCTAAGGGTAAGAAATCAAGTAGGAGAATGACTCATAGCATTACATAGTTCTGGTAACTGATCAGATGACTGAATACATGGACACCGGCAGATGGCCAATACAGAAATCAAGGAGACAGTCTCACTGGGAAACAGGAGGTGGTGAAGCTGTATTCTCACTGCCAAAGCAAGACCAGGAGCAGGGAATGGTAGCAACCACGAGCTCTGAATATCAAAAGCCGGAGCAAAGCTGAAAAAGATCACTGACAGAAACACAGTGCCAAAATACAACTTGAATTTTCCCCACAACACATACGCACATCCCAAACCTGCTAACTGAGGATAACATTTCATGTATCCGCTGATGCGGAACCTAATCCATGAAAGCATTATGCCATAACGAATCTGTTAAACTCTGTGAATACCTTTGTGCACAGAACAGTTCCCCAGTATAAGCTTTCTATTGTTTTCTGAGCAAGCTTCCAGTTGCCGTTCTTCACCTAAGAAGCATTACACATTTCAGCTTTCTCTATCTAAATAATAATATCCCTTCTTCCAAAGCCATCACAACCTCTCTAAGCAACAGAGCACATTCACAATGTGATGCAGAGAGGAAATCCTCACTTGAGAGAAAACCCTTCGGAGAGCTGCTGGAGTCCAAACTGCTCACAGAAGGGTTCCAGGTCTGGGCACGGCATCTGGCACTGTCAGGAGCAGGGACTCCAGCAGTGTCCACCGGAGCTGGCGGATCGCCTGGCCCACCCCTGCCACTTCAGCGCCTGGCATCCTTGCTCTTGCAGTCCCCAGACCGTGCCTCACACACACCGGCCTTCCCGACAGCCAGGACAGCCACGGCAGTGCCAAACGAAGCCGGTGAATGCCTCCCCCACCCACAGCCCTACCTGCCTCACCAGGGCTCTGTCCCCAGCACGGGCATCCAGAGAAGCACTATGGGGTGGGCTGCTGCTTGGTCATGCCCACAGGCAAGTGGGAATATCCAGAGACGCAGCCCAGGCCAGCTGCCTCAGGCAGGCTTGTGCAGGCGCATAGGCGGAGGGGTGTGTCTCGACACTATACAAGGCACTGGAGGAACAGATGGTGCTGAGAAGCCCCTTCCATCCTCTGGATGGACCAGGTCTCCATTTGCATCAGTTCTGGCTAAATCCCAAAATAACTGTCACAGTATTTCTGAGCTTCGGTGCCATGAAAAGGGGATGCCGTTAAATTTACGGCACTGTGTAAAGATGGGGGAATAATAGGAAGAGAGGCAAAGACCTTGCAAGGCTCTCTCAGCAGGAGTGGCTGCCCCACCGTGCCAGCCTTCTTGCCCACCTGGCCCAGCCTCGCCACTGGCCCAGCCTTTCGCCACAGGCTGCCATTGGGACTGACTGGCTGAGAGCCACTCCAGAGGCCCCGCTTCTGCAGGAGGACAGCTGCACCAGGGCTGCCTCCATCTGGATTACCAGCACGTGCCAGCTGGGGTGGGGTACATCTGCAGGCTGCGTTGGAGGTGGCCCCTTTGGAGGAGCCGTTTCGGGGGATGCGAGGACAAACCCCTCTGTAGCGTCGTCATTCTTTGTGCCTTGGGGTGGGGGGACTTCCTCCTGCGTGTAGGCCCTGTGTGTGAGCAGTGGAGGGAGGGGGTGGGGCCAAGTGGGGGTCCTGACAGAAAGCCGATCAGTGTCATGATGCGGTGCTCCTGGACCTCTTGGCAGCTTTCAATGCCACCGCCCGTGGGCACTGCCTGCGCTGGGAGTGAGGGGCACTGCTCTGCGGTGGTTCTACTCCGACTTGGACGGTTGGCTCCAGACAGTGGCTATTCCTCTGCTCCCGGGCTCTCCAGTGTGGGGTTTCTCTGGTCTCCCGTGGTATTCAGCATCTATATGAAACTGCTGAGCGGGGTCATCCAGAGTTTTGGAGCATGTTGCCATCAGTATGCTGATGACACCCAGCCTTTTTCTCCTTCTCATCTTGCATGGATGAAGCCGTGGATATGTTAAACTGCTGCCTTGCTGCAACAATGGACTGGATGAGGCCTAACAAACTGAAGCTCAGTCCAGCCAAGACTGAGATCCTGGTGGGATTAGGTGAGAAAAGGATTGATAAAGAATAATAATGTTAATGATAGATGGGGTTTGTTTACTGAATATGTACTAATAAAAAGGAAGGGTATTATACCTTTGGCTGATTCAATACAATTTTGGGTGGAAGGGGGTATTTCCGAAAGAATGGAAAGTTAGAGCTAGAAGCAAAGAAGAAAGGGAGGAAGGACGGATGGACCGACGGACAGAAGGAAGGAAAACATTATACAGCCATGGACCTGGTGGAGGGGTGCACTAATTGTTTTAATATATAGCTTTTTATCTTGTATTGTTTTTTCTTCTATTTTATAATATATTTTATATCTGTATTCTTTTGTAGTACTTTGTTATTAATATTAATAAAATTAATAGTTTAAAAAAGACTGGGATGCTGTTGGTGTGTGCTTCTTCTGACTGGATGGGGCTGCACTCCCCCCGAAAGAGCAGCTTTGCAGCCTGGGGGCGCTCGCTCATCGGCCATCTTTGCCACCTGATGTTCAGGCAGCCACCACGGCTCAGAGTGCCTTCTGCTGGCTTCATCTGGTGGCTTGGCTACGCCCCTATTTGGACAGAGGTAGCTTGCTATCAATAGTCCATGCTCTGTAGTCTCCAAGCTAGATTACTGCAATGTGGGGCTGCCCTTGAAGACAGTTTGGAAGCTGCAGCCTGTGCAAAATGTGCCAGCTGGACTAATCACCAGGATCAGATGGTCTGATCACATAGCAGAAATTCTGGCCCACAGTAGGCAAGAATATAAACCAATTCTGGCCTACTGGCACTGGCTGCCTATATGCTTCCAAGCCCAATCCAAGGTGCTGGTTTTAATTTATAAAGCCCTCTGTGGCCTGAGACCACAATACCTGATGGAACACCTTCATCTGCCAGGACACAACATTCAAGCTCCGGGGCTTGATTCCAACTGCCTCTGAGAGAGGCTCAGAGGGCAACAAGAAGGGCCTTTTCAGTGGTGCCTCTCCCTCATTATGGGATGCAATCCCCACTCAGGCCTGCTGGCAACATCCTTAGTCTTACTCTGATGCCAAGTTAAGACTGTCTTCTTTTGCAGGGCAATTAATTAGTTGCTTGGGAACTTTGTTAGTTGCTTGAACAGGTTGCTTGACAATTAATATAGGCCACTGCAATTTTTACACGTGTTTTAGTCTGGTTTTAAATTTTGTATGATAACCTTAAGGTTGCAATGTTTTAAATGTTTGTATTTTTATATTGCATTTTTATGTGTGCTCAGAGAGCTCAGGTTGTAAGGTGGCCTAGAAATCAATCAATCAACAAACAAACATGAATACAACACAAACAATATCTACACACAAAACAAAACAAGTGGTCACAAACACAAGCAAGCCAACTTGAGGAGTCTAGCAAGGCCGGGCCGTCCTCGTGCAAGCTGGGCACAACTTGAGTTCTTACCCTTGCCAGGCATCAGCAGGCGCTTCTTCGTGTTGCCTGGCAAGACACAGGAGACAAAAGCAAAGGCGACATTAGATACTGTTTGCAAAGAAACGGATTGCAAAAACCGACAGTACCAGCGGTTGTTGCTTGTTTAAAAGCAGGTGCTGAAGCAATCAAAGTAGCAACTGTGGGGACTGCCAGAGGGCTACTGCTGCCCTGGCGCAGCACACGGAGAGTGTGCCAGATGCTGCTGCACGGCAGGCAACAAACAGCTTCACGGGACGCGTCACAACAGCACGGCGTGGCACGGCATCACATACCTCAATGAGCAGAGCCCTTTTTAATGTCTGTCGTAACTAGTCCAGCATCTCCCAACTAATTTGGCCACACAACACTTTGGGGCTTGAAATATACTGAGAGAGCCCAGAAATGCAGTCAGGTGGCTGTGGTGGGTGTCTTTTATCTAGGATAAAGGGAGGTCAGGGAAATTTTGTAGCAGAGTAGACAGAAGAAATGAATCCTATTGTCATACTAAAAATGGCACCATGCGAAACTTAACAGTGCATTTGTGTGTTTATTCGTATTCTAAAAAGTTAGTTCTTTGGTGGATGTGTTCTATTTTACAAAGAACAAATACTGACCTTTGGGACTGCACAAGACCAGGGCTTCCCACCACCTCCATCTGCTTTTTAGACAATCTCAGAGTTTTATATATATTAAAAAAGGGAGGAAACTTCAAGTCGCATGCAGCAACAGTATCTGTATTATGTTATGCCCTCTGGGAATACGTTCAGATTGGAATCTTATTAAGCAGTTCTAACACAATGGTTGAAGCTTTCTATTATCTATTAATATATTTATTAACAGTAGTTTTTACCCTGCTCCTCAGCCAAAAAAGGCTTCTAGAGTGGCTTATAAAGATGATGATTTATTGCATTACATTTATATCCCACCTTTTCCTTCGTGCAAGAAAAATGACAATATTAGCAAAAACTAAAATGAAAAATTAGTGAGGCCAATCAGTTGTGGACTAGTTATCCTTGAATCACCATAAAATCTCACCACTAAAAATATTTACCATCCATCCCATTGTGCTGCTCGTAGCTTCTTTTTCCCAAGATAGTTGGAGATCCATTGTTAATCATTGGAGCATATTTAGTGCAAGGCACACTGCTGAGGGAGCCCGACAAACTCTTGGCAGGATCAGGTTTCAGATGACACGGATGAGACTCTGTGTGGAGAAAGCAGTGTGTTAGGGCCGCTTTACAACAGACAGTGGCAGACTCACTAATTTATTTAAAGCTGGAATGGGAAATAAGCACCTCACAGACCACTGAAATGCATATTCTTCAGAGCCACCTCACTCTGTAGATACCATAGCCCACTCGTGTGCTCTGGAGTGTCCTTCTTCTGGTTTTTGTGTCAGTATTGTTTATGCACACGCATGTGCTCACACAAAAGTGCTGGGAGAAGGACAGTTTGGCAGAGAAAAGCAGGCAGGCAGGCAGGCAGGCCAGCCGGCAGAAAGGGCCAGATGCTCTGACTGGAGACACTTCATTATAGTGGTTCCACTCCTTCTTGGCTGGCTGATTCCAGAAGGTGGTGCTGTGGGATTATTGCCCAATGACCTGCCAGCTACGCTACAGGGACCCAAAGGTTTCAGATTTACACCCCATGCTGTTCAACAGCTACATGAAATCATTGGGGATGGTTATCTGGAAATGGGGGCTGAGGTGCCATCAGTGGCAGATACTCATCAAAATCCTGAATCAGTGAATAGGATAGGCCAACAAACTAACTTGGTCTAGACAAGATGAAAAGCACCGTTACTGTATAGGTCACTGGGCTAAATGAGTGCTATCCAATCTGTCCTAAAAGACGAGGTTTTGGCTCTGGCCTCTTGGCAGAGCAGTGGAGCAGCAGAGGCAAAGGCTGGGGGAGAGGGCTGGGGGGCCAGGGGCCTGGCGAAGGCAAGGCAGGGGCTGGGCAGAGGAGTGGGGGGGGGGGCAAAGAGGAAGAGGGCGGGGCCAGAGGGGCCAGGAAGAAGCAGGGGGTGGGGCCACCAGCCGGAGAGGCTCGTCCCTTGTCTGCGTCTCTTTGCTGCGGCCCGGGCTGCCTGGAGACACCCTTCCCTAAAGGCTGAGTTTTTTTGTTTTGTTTTTTCTCCAATTTAAATGTTTATTTTGTCCTTGTGTGTGTCAGTTTCTGTCTGGGAGAACTGGGCCAGTGAGGGGCAGTGCAGGACAGACAAGGCGAGGGACCAAGTCAGGGTCCCTGAGGGGTTCCCAATGGCAGGCCAGGAGATGGTCTTGGCGGGAGTCACGGGTGTTGCTGCTGCTGTGGAAGCTGCAACATGTCCGCCCTTCTCCCCCAGGAGAGGCAGGGATACACCTGCCCTCAGTGCAAGCTGGTGACCCTCCTAGAGGTGGAGGCGAGGTGCCTGAGGGCCGAGAGAGCCCTCCAGGCCCCCCGGGAGCAGCCCCCCTATGGACAGAGTGTTGCGGGAGGGGCCACAGCAGGAGCAGCCGGGGAGACACGGAGGCACATCACCCACAGGAGGGGGAGGCCAGCATGGCCTCCGCCTTCCCTGGAGCCGATCTGGAGCTGGGAAGCAGGTTCTCTCCGCTTGGGGAGGCTGGGGCCTCGGGGGACCAGCAGGACCCCCAGTCTGGGACCACAAGCAGCAAGGGGGCCGCTGCAGGAGAGGTGAGGGCCAGGGCATAGCTGCCTACCACCACTGGGAAGAGGCGGCGGCGGGTGATCGTCGTCGGGGACTCCCTGCTGAGGAGCACTGAGGCGGTGGTGTGCCGCCCCGACCCTGAGGCAAGGGAGGTCTGTTGCCTGCTGGGCGCACACATCCGGCATGTGAAGGACAGAGTGGAGCATCTTGTTCACTCTGGGGGTCACCAGCTGCTTCTGGTGATCCATGTGGGCACAAACGACATGGCCAGGCAGGGTGTGGTCGGGATCAAGAGGGACTTCCAAGGCCTTGGGGAAGAAACTCAGGGAGCTAAAGGCCCAAGTGACCTTCTCATTGATCTGACCAGTCTGGGGATTTGGGCCAGGCAGAGACAGGAGGGTCGCCGAGGTGAACGACTGGCTTAGGGTGTGGTGCCAGAAGGAACCCTTCGGGTTCCTCGACCACGGCACCCGGTTTCTTGTCAATGGATTTCTGGCAAGGGACAGGTTGCACCTCAGGAGGCTGGGGAAAAGGTCCTTCGAGGTTTTGAGATGGCTAGATGGAGGGGATGCAGTGGATGTGGTTTACCTGGATTTCAGCAAGGCCTTTGACAACGTGTCCCATGATATCCTGGGGGAGAAAATGAGGAGTTTTGGGATACACCAAAGCACTGTCCGGTGGATTAGGGCATGGCTGACTGACCGAAAGCAGAGGACATGGTGGGCATGTCGTGAGTGGAGCCGGCTGGTGCCGGAGGTCAGACTAGATGGCCCGGGAGACCCCTTCTGACTCGCTCTGTTTCTATGTAACCATTACTGGGGAATCATCGGGATGGCAGTCAGTGACAAGCGGGGTCCCCCAGGGCTCTGTCCTGGGGCCGATCCTGTTTAATCTTTTCATCAGTGACATGGAAGGAGGGTGAACAGTCTGCTGATCAAATTCACAGATGACACTAAAACTGGGGCCGTGGCCACAACTGAGGAGCAGGTACTCCAGATTCAAAAGGATCTGGACAGACTATGGAAGTGGGCAGGAGACAACAGGATGGCATTCAGTGTGGGTAAGTGCAAGGGGTTGCACTTGGGGCATAGGAATGGGTGTCATAAGTACAGGTTAGGGGACAAGTGGCTGGAGATCAGCACTTGTGAAAGGGACCTCGGGGTGCTGGCTGACTGCAGGCTGAACATGAGTCAGCAGTGGGATGCGGTGGCCAAGAGGGCGAACGCCACCCTTGGTTTTTTGATGCACAGAAGGCCTTTGACAATGTTAACTGGCAATTCATGAAACAACAATTAGTTCAAATGGAATTTGGTGGAAAATTTATTAATGCAATATCAAGCATTTATCAAAAACAGACTGCTAGGATAATAATTAATGGAGAACTCACAAACACTATAGATATTCAAAAGGGCACAAGACAAGGATGTCCTTTGTCTGATGTCTTTCATGATTGTTTTTTTTTAGTTTTTTTAATTTGTAGAAAATAATAATAAAAAACTTATTTAAAAAAGAGAGTTCCAAGTTCCAAGGTCAATCTGTCCATGTCCATGCAATCCAAAATCTTTTTTAAAAATCAACTCTTCAGTAGGTGGCTCTTCACTTCAAATTGGTTGTGACCCAAGTCAGATTTCCCCAAAAGGTTCAATGTAAGTAAGGTTAATTGGTTCTGTAACTATTTTTTTTAAATCAGAAAAAATTGAAACCAAGTGACAAAGAACAACAAAGTAACAAAGTGCTGTACAGTACAGTGGAGAACACTAACCTAGGTGTGTGGGGGGGAGGTTATTGTTTTGAGGGAGAGTCCCCCTCCATCAGGACATTGGGGAGATCGCTTCCAGGGGTTTCCTCTCTGTCTCTTAGCTGCAGGGTCAATTTTGGTGAAAAATCTGTCTATAGTCACTTGTTTTTTCCTGCGCTGCATAACCCTCCGGAAATGAGAGACCACGTTATCGTTCATCAGATTCAATACTCTGTTCGTTAGAGTTATGTTGGGGTGCTGCTTCTCAAAGAAATCCTGGCACGGGCGCGCTCCTGCAGGAAAGACGGGCACCATCCCGGCCATCCCCCCCGCCCATCCAAGCAGCACGTGCTGTGCCGCGCCCGCCTTTCCTGCAGGAGTGCGGCTGTGATCATGCACGTCTTCCCTGCACGAACGCATCTGCGATCGTGGCCATCTCCCCACTTGCGGGGGTGGGGAGATGGCTGCGATCTTGGCTGCCACCCAATGTGGAGTTTGCGACCCAAGTCAAAATTTTCATGAAATTTTTGTTCGCAACCCGATTCGGTCGTGAATCAAGGCATTCGTGAGCCGAGGTATCACTGTATGTATAAACTGAAATATGCATTATCAATATACAATAAAACATATAATATTTAAGGAGTTCGTGTTCATATTCTTTAGCAAGCAAAGCTCTCCGAAGGCAGCTTGCAAACATATTTAAAACAATACAGAGTGTTTCAAACAGATGCAAAACAAAACCTACAGAGAGTATGGCCTTTTGGAGAAATCAGATTGTTCCCGTCACCACATGGCACGGCCAGCCACAAACCTTCCGTTTGGACATAAAAGAGCCTAAAGATGGCTGAAGTGAAAATTTCAGTCTCGGTCAGCACTGCAAATGGTAAGAGATGATGCGAGTTGAAATGCAACAACATGTGAGAAGCACATGCCAGTCATCTCCTGGTAAAGTGACCTCCTCCCATACGTGAAAAATGTATGTCAACTGGTTTCTGAAGGACGATGCTGTGAGACAGGCTGAAGTGGTAAAATATGGGAGTCGAGTGGCACACACGGACAGGGAGGCAGGATGGAGGAAGCACACGCCTTGCCCTCTCCTAGCCCTCACCGACTGCCAAACTCGACAGAGCTTTTTCATCCTGTTGCTTTTGCTGATGTATATGAATATACTAATTCCAAGCGAGATTACAGTTCACGCACAAGAGTATGCAAAAGGGTCAGAAAATGACTCTGTAATCCATTTACCTAGATACTGAAGTACCGCTTCTAAAGGTTTTCTAACAACTTGCTTTAGTAACAACACATTTTCTGAAGCTTCTGGTAAACGAGCTGCACCTGAAGACAATATTGGAACAAAAAAATCTTAAATATTAACACTTGAATTGCATCTCTGAAGCAAAAGCTGTATTTTGCTGAAGCGTTTTGATACCAAGGAATTTTCTGTACATTTCACTCAGTAGCTCTCCTTGGCATTGAAACCAAGGAGAGCTTGTGCACAAGTGGGCCCTGCAAGACCATGTTCCAGTGTATCTCTGCTCCTTATGTAATGGGCTCCTGCTGCTCAGGCCCAGGCATGGGGAAGGGATAAATGCCAACACTTTTCTTCATCACAAGGCTTTCCTTTCCCTGGCTGTGCTAGTGGAAAAAAGAAAAAAGTGAGAGGTTTGCCAGCACCAAACCTGAGCACTGCAGGTTCGGTGAACTACGTCTCTGAAGGAGGGGAAAGTCTGTCGTTATCCAGCTCCCCTCTGTGTTTAAGTGCTGTCAGCATTAGACATGGCACTTCACAGGAAGCTTTAAAAGCTTTTAATTCTGCTTACCTAAGAAACCTCCTGTACAGAAATCCTCTTTTGCACATGGCCGGCCCCATTCCACCTCCAAACTGATAGGTGCTCAACCAAACCAGTTTGCTATCAAAGAAAATGACCTATCACTTTCCGAAGGTGTGCATCTTGATAATCAATCAGAATGTTCAATCCTGAATCTGCTCATGGAAACCCGTCCGGTTGTGAAAGATGCCCCCGCCCAAGGGACTGATGAGGCTGCTGTGGGAGCACCGGGCAGGAGTGCTCATTCGTACCAGCTTCGCTGATCCCGTGTGGCTCTAGATACGATCGGTCTCTTTTAAGGACAGTGAGCCTGACTGCATCCCCTGAAGCTACATGCTTCCAGTCGGCCACCAAACTACATTTTAAAGTACACATGAAGCACAATCGGATGGGCAAAGACTCACATTCTGCCTTGATTGCAGCACTGTTGATAGGCACATGAGGGTGTCGCGCTGCATGCCAAGGACGCAGGATGTCCCTGCATAACCGTCTGGCAAGCTTGGTCAGCTTTGTTGTGTACAGGAAGAAAGCCTGTCGTGTTTTCATGGCAAACTTGGGGCTCCCGTTGTTTCTTATGGGTGCACTGTGAGGACTCTGGAAAAAGGTAAATTTGTAACAAGACTTGGTCAGAAAGGTGCCTGGAAAAAAAAACATTCCTTGAGTGGTGATCTGTTTAGTTGCACGTATAGAAACATGCCCACGCAGAGCTTGATCTGCAGTATTCTAAAGTCTTAAAGATGTGAAAATCCAGAAAAGCACCTTGAAAGATGACATGGGATCTGCTTACCCTCCCCACAAGCTATTTTTCAATTGGGGAAATCAGAAATCTGAGGAAAACACCGACTTCAACCCTGATGTCAACTAGTATTAGCCATGTTCTTGTTTGGAATAATTAGTGAGAGACTTTAGAAGGCAGGTATTTAAACTATAGCGTACAGCCTAGTGTTAGACGTTACGTCTCAGAAACGGGGCAGTGACGTACAGGGCACATTGGCACGTTATGGCAGTATGTGTGTTACGTGCCGTCGAGTCATCTTTGACCCATGGTGATCTTCTGAATGAAAGCCCTCCAAAAAGGCCTGTCCACGGCAGCCCTGCTCAGCAGTTCTACCTCCAAGGCTGTGGCTTCCTTTATGGAGTCAATCCGTCTCATATTTGGCCTTCCCTCTCTTCCTTGGGCTTTGACGTTCCCTCCCATGACGGTTTTCTCAAGAGCATCTTGCCTTCTCACGATGTGCCCCAAGTACGACAGCCTCAGTTTTCTCCGTTTTGCTTCTCAGAAAAGTTCTGACTTGATTTGATTTGATGGATGACCCATCTGGCCGTCTTCCTGTCAGTCCAAGGTATTCGACAGAGCTATCCTCCCGCACCATGTGCGAAATGCACCATTTTCTTCCTGCCGGCTTGCTTCACTGCCCAGTTTTGAGACTCACAGACTGTGGTGGGAATACAAGAATGTACACGGTCTCAGCCCTGGCCGGCAGTGGACACTTGATGCTCCTCTCCAGTTCCTCCATTGCTGCACTTCCAAGCCTCCGTCTTCAAATTTCCTCGAAGTGGGGACTGAGCCAAGGTATGCAAAATCTTGCACAATTCCAATTGCTTCATTGCTAATAATAAAATTCTGTAATTCCTCTGTAGTCATAATTTTCATTTTCTTAATATTCAGCTGTAGTCCAGCTTTTGCCCTTTCTTCCTTCACTTGCATCAGTTGTTTCGATGCATTGCTGCTTTCTGCCAGTAATATGCTATCATTTGTATATCTGACATTCTTGATGTGTGTTCCACCCATTTTTACTCCTCCTTCCTCTGATCCTAATCCAGTTCAACTTATGATACATTCTGTGTACAGACTGAACGGGCAGGGAGATAAAGCACCCCCCATTTGACAGCTTGGCCTATAGAAAACTATTCTGTTCCCTCGTAATTCTGTCCTCACAGTAGTTTCTTGCCCATCATGCATAAGGACAATCACGTATTGCGGCACACCCATTTCCTGAGAACCATCCATAGCTTCTTGTGAGTCATACAGCGCTGTTGTAGTCTGATCTTCTTGTGAAATTCTTTGGTGTGCTCCAGCATCCAGCATAAACCTGTGATATGATCTCTAGTGCCTCTTCCTTTTCAGAATCCAGATCAATCATCCAGCACTTCTCACTACATACAGGGTAATATTCTTTGCTGTAATGGCTTGCGCATCACTTTGCTTGCGTGGGAAATTTGTACGATGGTGCCGTGGTGGCTGCTCTCTTCTGCATCTTGTTTCTGGACTGGAATGCATGTGAATGTTTCCAGTTTGTGGGCCATCGTTTTATTTTCTACATTTGTTTACCTATTATTTTTAGGATTTGGACCAATTCAGTCTCTGCCTGGACCAAGTTCTAGTCATAATTTTTGCAAGTACATTCTAAGCAGTTTTCATTTTGCTCTCCAATGCTGTAGGCCCTTCCTCATAGGATTCCTCTTTGAAGATCTGTCATCCCTTCATCTCTTCTGTATATTCTTCCTTGTCTTCAATTTCTCCAGGCCAAATAGCATATTCCCATTTGTCTTTCAGCCTATCCCATGTTTGAACTTCTCTTTGATCTTTTGAGCTTCTGGAAGAGGCCGTGTTTTTTTCCTTTTGTTGCTCCCTTCTATTTCTTTGCACTGGTCACTGCAATTGTCCATTTTGCCTTTACATGTCAGCTGCCGAAAAGTTGCATTCAGGATTCTGACCCTATTTCTGTCAGTTTTTGCTTTCGATAGTCACCTGTCCTTAGCCATTAGGAGTGTGGTACAATGGCTCAATGTCGCTAGAACCGTTGGCCAGAAACGCTCGGTACTCCAGCAGTTCGAGCCCAGCCTCTGCCAGACTGAGTGAGCCCCCGTCGTTCATAGCCGACCAGCTCATACCAGCCGAGCTGTTGAAAGCGTGTATTGTGAGTACATAAATAAGTACCGCCTTCGTGGGAAGGTAACAGTGCTCCATGATGTCATGCTGGCCATATGACTGCAGGATCATCATCGGACAGTGGCGGCTCACGGCCTCAGAAACAGAGATGAGTGTCACCCCCATCAGCTGCTGGCCAAGCGGAGTAAAATCCACAGGGATTCCTTTATCTTTAGAGATTTTAAGTGTGCTTTTGTCATCCATCTAGCCTTTTCTTTCTTTCTGTTACAGAAATTGTCTTTTGGCATTCTTCCCCAATACTGTCTCTGGTTTCAGTCCACAGTTCTTCTGGCACACATCTGTTCTTTATGTGGTCTTGAAATTTCTTGGGTTTTTATTCAAGTTGTATTGTGGCACAATGTTTCTGCTGGTTACATTGTTTAGCTTTACTCTGATTTTTGATATTGAGAGTTAATGGTCAAAATGGCAATTTGCCTCCAACCTTGCTTTGGCAGTGAGAATACAGTTCCTCCATTTGCCACTTCCAATTACAATCTAATTGATTTTTGTACTGGCAGTCTGGTGCAATAATGGGTGGAAGGGACTGTATAAAAACCCTTCACAAAGAATGTCTTCTGTCTGAGCTTGAGCAGAGGAATTGTTAAATTGCTTGCCCAGGCAATACCCGAGATCTATGAAGCACCCTCTGGCCTATTCCAAACAATAATACAGCCACAGATCACAGAATCAGAGAATAGTGGAGTTGCAAGGCCATCAAGTCCAACTCCCTTGATCAATGCAGGACTCCAGTTAAAGCATTCCTGACAGATGGCCTTATGACTGTCTTCTCTTCTTAAGGTTACACATGTCCAGTTCTTTCAATCTCTCTTCACAGAACTTTGATCCAGTCTGGACATGAGCTCTCCCCTGAGCAAAACCTTCTAACACCAGTAAAAATGTCATGGGTAGACTCCTCCAAGGAAGTGTCAGGACAGGTTATGTGGGATTTAAACTACACGCTGGCTCTGTGATCAGGAGAAATGTGTTTGCAAGGAAGGTGGGCCGAGTTAAAAGAGATGCCCAGAACCAGGAAGGTAGAGGTAGCGTGGTACAGGGAAGTGGCAAAGTTACCAATGGACAGTAACAGAGGCATACGAGAAAAGAATAGATACAGGAAGCACAGGGATCTGAAGAAGAGATGGGCAGAAAGGCAGTGGAACTAAACAAAGAGGGACAAAAGCAGAAGTGAGGAACTAGTGAAATAAAAGGTTGGGAGCAAATAAAATGAGGCAGAAGTCAATTTTTGGCAAAGAAGTAGAGTTGAAGAAAGTTAGGTGATACTAAAAATGCAGTGCAAGGGACAAATTACATGCAGAGTTGAAAGGGTTTTTTAAAAGTTACTTTCCCTCCCTCTGCCATTTATGCCAGTTCTGCCCCCAGAGAAACAGCAGGTCTGCCACTGTCATGGGAGACTGGCGGACGAGGTCCTCTTCAGGTCTTGTTTCTCTCCTCTTCCTTTCCCTTTTGTGCAGCATTGTTTCAGAAGGGGCTTGCCTTTAAGCTGCTAGCTGAAAATGGTGAGTGCACATACCGAGTTGTTGCGGTTTGGGCCTGGCCGCTCTCCATCCAGCCGTGTTGGCATTTTCAAACCACCGTATTTCTTCCAGTATGTCCAGCAAGATGTGCAAAGGCGGCACTGCATATTCGGAGGACCCCATGTGTACCACTGGTGAGACTGTGTCACTAGGAACAGCAAAGATAGTTAGGGTTCACTTGCACAGTGCACCTACTGAGACTTTCAAAACAAAACGAGGGATAGATACATCTGGAAGTGAAAGGAACAAAAATGCTGAAAGATACACAATGGTTATAATTAAACTACTAGACTCCTGCACGTGGCCTAAGTCAGTCAGTCAGTCAGTCAGTCAGTCAGTCAGTCTCTCTCTCTCTCTCTCTCTCTCTCTCACACACACACACACACACACATGTTTTATCATGAAGTGTAACCATTTGTCTCTTATATGGAATTGAAATCAACAATAAAAACCCCCTAAATGATAATGGTAATGTTCCAATTGTGTCTTGTACTAGTGCTATGGATACTGGGAAGAAATTCTCCTGGATTTTTCCATATTGCCCAAGAAAAGTTGCTTCAACTGAATTTTCTTGGTAATGGAATAAGGCATCCTGGCCTGAAAAGCATGCATTGTGGTGGTTTGAGTATTGGACTGGGGATATGGGAGAGCCAGGTCCAAGTCCCTGTTTGACCATGAAGCTCATGGTGCCTTGAGGCCAGTCACTTGCTCTCACCGAACCCATCAGATGGGCAGAAAGATGACTATGTAAGCCCCCTTGGGTTCCTTGCAAGAAAAAATGCGAAACAACAGTAAACATAACAATTGTGAGAGATTACGAGTCTGCTGGGTGTTTACTTAAGATATTTGAGTGAAAACAAACTGAAGAGTGTTGCAAGAAATAATGCAAATTGTTATAATGTCGTCGTGCTTCCTTTGTGAAGTTTAATGTGCACCTGAATTCCCTTAACCTGTTTCACTTTGATCTCCATGTTCCTGCAAGGAGCTGCAGAGCCAAGGTACTACTTTCTGGCAATGGAGGAGGGAGCTGAGCTGCATGGTGCAACTTGCTGGCCTGCCTGCCTGCCTGCCAGTTCATGGTAACTAAGGATGTACACACAGCATAAACCTAAACCATAATTTGACATGTTCAGTGAACTCAGCCAGGATGGTATAGTGTGGTAAGGACAGTCTCCATGTACTATGGAAAGAAACGTGGTTTCCACATTTCACCATGGCTTGCACAACTGAGTGAACCCAAAACGACATTGTAGCATGGTTTCTATTTAGCATGGTTTCCACAGAGCCCTGCAGAAAAAGTGGTTGCTACTGAAGGAGATGCTCCTGCCCGCATGCGCTGCTGTCCAGATCTGCCTAGCAAGATAAGCATCAGCTCCATCAGCACTCCCACTGGCTGCTTTCCGTTCCCTTTCGCTTCTGCCTTTGCTCTGCCGTCCAGATACCCATCTGCAGCTTCAGCAAATCACTGGCAGCGGAGGAGTACAGCACACTGCCTCCAGCAGCAACGCCCCTGGAGATACTGTGTTTGGTGCTCCTGCCATGTCAAAGCTGTTTACGGGAACACCAAAAATGAGCAGCTCTGCCTTTGTTTTTGTCAGGATCTGGGGCGCCCACTCGTGGCCAAAATCAGACGACCCACCTCAGTACTGTGAGGACTGGTCCCACAGACTGCTGGAGCTCAGCTTCCTGAGGAATGCCTGCGGCGATCTCTGTGGAGGGAGCTATGCAAGAGCAAGCGCTTCCCTTCAGAGCTGGCTGTGCTGTAGCACCGACAGCTTGCCCGACAATCTACCCTGCCTTGCCCTGCTGCTACCGCAGCAATGCAGGGCTTCCTGCAATCTGCCGCCTGGTCCAGCTCCTGCACCTTGTCTGACCTGGTTCCTGCCCTGCCTTGCTGCATCCTGCACTGCCTTACTGGCTTAGCAAGGCAGGTCCTTCTGCTAGCTCTTGGGAATGCGAGAGACTTGTTCTTGGCCCACATTCTCAACGCCTGCTGATTGGAATTTAGAGGAGGGAGGGAGGGAGGGAGGGGGCCTTGCCATGTGCACCAGCTCCAGATGCTGAGATGAGAGCAGCAGAGACACTTATCTCAAGGCCAGGCCCGCAGGCATTCAGGCAGACTGAGAACAGCCGAGGTGCACTCTTATCTGGAGGCGGCTTGGAGCAGGGGAGTTTCTCAGGGACACGGTGGGTACAGCGCTTGACCTCGGGATACAACATTGGCAGAGGAGAGCAGCCCGATTAGAGGATCCATGTGCAGTGAGCGGGCATGCCTATTTGCAAACAGACTCACAAGGAGAGTTCCTGGATGTAAATACTAAACTGAGTTCGATGACCCACTCTGTGCATGCTCAGTGATTCCTTCTGGGTGTTTGCACGACCGGAATACACTTTGGTCAATAACATTTTGCAAGACAGGTCTGTGGTGTTCAATGTGCAAAGGGAGGAACCCTAACTCACAATGCTGTCTGCTTCAGCTCCTGCAACTTGCCTGATCCTTGCAGTACAGCCTCCTCACAGGGCTTCGCTTCCAGTCCCTGGATCCTCCTCGCTGCCATCCTCTAAACCCTGCATCATTCTCCAACTGTGGTGCCCAGAACTGGATACAGTACTCCAGATGAGGCCTAAGCAAGCGCTGAGTAGAAGGTAACTAGTACTTCAAGGGATCTGCAGTCCAAAATAGTGTTTGCCCGTTTTGCAACCACATTACACTGCTGACTCATATTTAGCTTGTGAGCTACAACAATTCCAAGTTCCTTCTCACTCGCAGTACTGCTGAGCCAAGCATTCCCCGTCTTGTAACAATGCATTTCATTCTGTTGCTTTCAGTCAAGATCAAGTTTCTGTCCTTCGGGGTATTAGCTATCCTACCCAATAATCTCTCACTGGCAAATTGGTAAGCATTCTGTGCACTTCGCTCAAATTATTAAGGAAAATGTTGGCGAGCACCAAACTCAGTGGGACCCACTCATTACTTTTCCCCAGTTTGAGAAGGTGCCGTTGATGAGCATTCTTTCAGTCTGATTCTTTAGCCAACTGTGGATCCATCTGATGGTTGTTCCATCTAGCCCACTTTGAGCTAGTTTGCTAATCAAGATATCATGGAGTACTTTATTGAAGGCTCTGCTGAAAAGATTTTGTCTACAGCATTCCCATGGTCCATCAGGGATTTGGCCCAATCAAAAAATAAAATCAGATTACTCTGGCCGGATTTGTTCTTGACAACTCAATTTTGGCTACTAGTAATATCTGCATTGTTATCAAGGCTTTTGCAGATCAACTGCCTTATTATCTGCTCCAGAATTTTTGCAGAGATTGATGTCTGTCACACTGATTTCTGGTTCCCAAGATGGGGGCAATCTTAGCCCTTCTTCAGTCATCTGGCAGTTCTACTGTCTTCCATAATTTCTCCAAAATAATTCTAAGAATTCTTCTGCTAGTTCTGTTATTACTCTAGGATGCAGTTCATCAGGCCCTGGAGTTCTGAACTCATTCAAATTCGGTGATCCATGACGATTTGCTTATCATTTTCAAGCAGCCATCTTGCTCCTGGAACTTGAACTTCCCCTTTGTCACCCTTTTTTGGGAAAAGGCTGAGCTGAAGCAGGAATGGGACACTTGTGCCTTTTCTTTGCCATCTGTGATCATTTTGCTCTGCACAACAAGCAGATCCATTCCTCTGTCTTTTACTATGGAAGCATCTGAGGACTTTTGGTTGCTTTTAGCATCCCTCACTAACTTTACCTGATGCCACCCATGAATATTCGTGCTACCTACCCAAACTGTTCCTTAGTAGCCCAGCCCTCTTTCCACTTCCTATACTTTGGTTTTTGTTTCCAGATCATCTCTAAGCTTTTTGTGAAGCCACGTGGGCTTCTTCTGTTGTCTTCTACCTTTTTTCCTCATTGGAATTGTTTGTAATGGCGCCTTTAGAATTTCCCCTTTTAAAAATCCCCGCCCAACTTGAACTCCTTCTCTCATTAGAGTCACTTGTCATGGGACTTGACTTATCACTGGAGTTTGTTAAAATTGGCTTTCCTAAAATCCAGGGCATGCATTTGGCTACATTTGGCTTTGGCTTTATTTACAATTAAAGATTCCAGGAGGGCACGCTCACTTCCCCCCAGAGTTCTCATAGCTGCCAACCCTGGGTCTTCCCCGTTGGTTAAAATCAAGTCAAGGAAAGCCATTCTTCCAGTTCCTTCTTCCACTCTGTAGGAGGAGGTTGTCAGCAACAGACACCAGGGGTTTCTTGGAAGGGTCATGTTTGGCAGGGTTTATCTCCCAACAGGTATTGCAGGAATTGAAATCCTCCATAACTATGGCCTCTGAAACCTCAGCAATGTGCTTTTCAAAAGTCTTGTCCCCACTGTCCTCTTGACTGTGGCATACAACTTGTTTATTTTTTAAGTAGATTTATATCCCATCTGTCCTTCATGATAGTGTGGGGGGAGGGGCTTTTGAAAGTGGGGTGCCCAGTACAGCGTGACTGTGGCGACAGCGTGGGATGGGGTGGGACTGGGGGGCACAGCCTGCTTATGCCCTCTGCGTGCCTGGCTACATGGGGCAGGTGGCCCTTCCCAGTGCGTGAGAGAGAGTCCTGCGCACAGAATGCACCTGCAGCAAGGGCAGGACAGGGAAGAGCTGTGGGTGCGTGTGCTTCCAGCTCGGAACGGAGCAGGGAAACCCAGGCGAGTGCCACTTGAGGGCAACAGCGCCATTCCAGTGAAGGAGCAGCTGCTCTGGCCAAGTGGGAAAGCGGCTGGCTGAGGGCAGGCCCAAGGGGGTGTGGGGACCAGTGAGGGAGAGTCAGGCAATGCAGGCAGGGAAAGTGTACCCTAGGAGTGATTTTCGGTTATTGGGGATGATGGGATACCTGCTGCCATTAGGAGACGTGAGGGAGGAGGGGGGAAACCATGCAAGCATGGAAACCATGCTATTGCCTGAACCTAAATTCTTGCGAAGACATTTCCTCAGGAACATTTCAAGGAAATGATGTGGCTGAGCTGGGCAAGACAAGACTGAGCTGGGTTCAACGCAACAGGTGCTGCTGGGTGAGGAGAAACAGCAGGTGCTAGCTAGCAACTGCCTGCGGATGCTCAGGTGCGGCCTCCTACTGCCCTCATGTTGCCCTCAAGCCACCCCTCCGCCCGCACATCCAAACTGTCCTCCTCTACTGAGGCCAATTATGCTCCTGCCTGAAGCCCAAGCGACCTTATGGCAAGGCTTCAACGTGATGCTGCATGAACTTTGTTCATGCTTTTCTCCCCACTGGTGCTCACGAACAATATTATTTCCAAGCAAACAGCAAGTCACAGCCAAACAAAGCAGAACATTCTACAAGAAGAGGACAGGATGTGCAAGGTGGAACAATGGGTTGGCTGCCGTAAAAAAATGTGCCTTCAAAGAAATAAAATGCATAAAATTGGTCTTGCATTTCCCCACTGGCACTTCTGCAAAGCCATTCCTCCTCCTCTTACTCCTTTGTTTTTGCACAAATAGCTACATTCAGAATTCACTTACTATAGCAGCTTTCACAAGCGCGTCCTGTTCCCACGTTCTGTGCATTAACTCCTGCACCATTTACCATTCCTGGCTTGACGTTGTTTAGATTGATCTGGTTAGGGTTAGGCTTGTTACTTAACACACAAGACAAAAAGGGAGAATTAATTAACTGCAACATGCAACAATCTGAGAAGACTTCAGACATGGTAAACAAAGCTTGCATGCCTCCTATTTCCAAATCACTCTAATACAAAATAAGCTAATTAACCAGGAAATAATGTACAGCACACACCTTGCCTCACATGTTAGATTACATGGTCAAAACCCTCTCAACAATGCTACCCTAAACAGGCCTAACTCTGAGGGAAGCGCCACTGCACAGGCAGTCGGAGCCTCTCCTCTCTAAACGTTTCAGTAACCAAAGAACTGTTCCGATGAAAGGATCATTTGGAAGTCACACACATACAGTCGGTTTCTGAAATGCGCGTGCACACACACTCATTTATTCTTGATAAAATACAGATACTGCACCAATACTACATGTCTCAGTATATTAAATACAGATAAAAAGGCACACAGGTCTTGCATTTGCAGTAGCAATAAAATGCTGGCAGTTTACTAAAACAAAGCATTGTCTTCCACCCTGACTTTTAATATAGCTAGTCAATGCTCAATGCACAATGAAGTCTATTTCTCAGTTTCTCCATACCAAGGGTATCTCCTGATTTTTCGTACCAAGCATAAAAGAAAGGTGGCACACAAATAATACACATCTTTGTCCTTGTAAAAGTTAACAGACAAAGCACATGATTCAGATCAACAGGAGTACTTATCTCATGAACTGGATTCATAATTGTACTCATTCAGCACTCTGTCCAAGAGTTACCATCAGCCCATAGTTCTTTACTTCTGAGTCCAGTTTTTTCAGCAGCAGCTTTTTAAAAAAGGGCTGGTATCACTTTTTCTCTCAAAACAGAATCTACAACCCGCTGAACCCAGCCAGCCAGCCAGCCAGCCAGCCACCCCCTGCTAAAAGTAATCAGCCATGACAGGCATGGGTCAACCGTACATGTGGCTGGCCAAGTTTTGCCCACCTCAGACCTCAACAACTGGAACTAATCTGATGCCACTGGACAAGATGTGTCCTGGGCACCTCTGCTACTGGAATTGCACTAACTGTGGAACCGAACTCCTGACTGAGGCACTTGGCTTCCCCGTCAAAGTCTAGAGCAACATTCTACTGAGGATGTAAACAACTCTCTTCGGGCCTGGCTGCAACAAGCCCACCCCCAACTAAAATTGCTCTGCTGGGAAACACGAAAGATGCAGCTGCGGTGGGAGAGAAATGCTTGTCAGCCTCACCGCCATTGAGTAGGTCCGATAATTGGTTCTGAGCTATGGTTAGTCACCTCTGACCCGTTTCCATCTAGCCTTATTCCCTCTTGCTCCACTGCCCTCAAAACAGCTGTATATCAAGGTACTGCCCAGGCTCTGAAAAGAGGGAGAGGGGGCTTCAGGGCATACATGTCAAATGCCCAGGACATGCCATGGGCCACAAATGACCAGGCCATCAACAGGACTCCATTAGCTCCTCTGGGTGGACCATGTTAATCAGGCTCCTCCCAACAAATGCACTTACAAAGGGTAAAAGCCACTGAAAATCTAAACCTTAACAAAAATTATAGGACCATGACAAGGGAATAAATGTTAAGTTCCCTGACTTCAGATCACCCTCCTCCTGCCTGAGGAAACTACTTCAGGAGTGTGGGCCCACATGCACTGGGCCAATGACACGGTGAGACAACCACATGGTTGTCTTGGTGGCCGTGATGCCCCAAGGCGTCCTAGATCCAATGGCCTCAGCAGGAACGTTAAGGTCCTTCAGAGCTATAATCAATTACTTCTTTATGTGGGAAGGACAAAATTTCATCTGCAAATATAGACAGTAAAGCCATTTTAGGGTACATTTTTAACTGATGGAATCAGTGGAATCACATTTCTCTTTAGAATTCATGGCATTCAATAGCATCACTACCTCTTTCATGACATTATCCTCGATTGTTGACAAAATGATCTCATTTTTTAACATTCCATACTGAATTTGATGTCTCAGTTTCTTTCACCTCTTCAAAATCTTTTTTCCCCACACCATTTTGTGATCATGTGTACTTCCCAGTTTCAGGAACTTGTTTTATATACTACAGACATAAGACCCTTGCTTTGCTTTTCAAGTTCTCTTAGGGATCTAGCAACCTGTGATTTAGCACTTTACAACCAATTGTATTGAAGGTTTTCCAACTGTTCTGCCAAGTTTGGGGACTCCTGCATATAGTTCTTTAAACTATTTGACTTCCATAAGTAAAACTATTGAAATTTGTGCTGAAAAACAACATACGTAACAGAAATGGAGTTAGACAGATCTTGTAGGGGACAGCTTTTTCAGCAACTTTTTCTAAATCCTTAGCATTCACCGGAGGGTCAGATTATGTGTTTCTTCTAGGATTTTTTAGGTGAATGAGGAACGGCAAACCTTGTCATTGGACTTTTTCCCTTTGTTATGTTCCATCTTTATTCATGAATTTTGACTTAAGCTATGAAGAAATCCCAAATAGGTGCCTCAGTTGTGCTACTTCTACAGTTTATAACTATCTATGCAGTACTTCCAAGTCCCCAACTTTAGGTAATCATTGTTTCAATGACTTAAACCTCAGATATGTCAGTGTTCCTCTTCTCCAGAAAATTTATGTTCTGTTCTATATTCACAAGGAATTATTGTGTCCTCCAGATGTTAATTGTGCAAATATGCCTGACTTTTTACTAGTATATTATTCTTCAAGAGCTTCTGACAAAAATCTTCTAGTTAAAAAAAAATCAAATGAAAAGTTCATTATTTATTTACAGTATTTTTATACTCATTCAAAATGTTATTGGAGTAGCTAACAAATAATCTATAAAAAAAGATAGTCCCAGAGCTCAAACTTAGTGTTATGTTTTTTTACTGTTAAAAACCTGACATGAAAAGGACTGTCATCATTTCTTTGCATTTATGGATAATGCATTATTGTCACTAAGGAGTCAAGAACCCACCTGGCTAGGGTTAATCCTGACTACGCAAGTTTCTTATTTCTGGATCCATCGAAGTCATTAAAAAATCTTGAACAGCACAAGAACTATGACAGAGTCCTTTCACCGGGTATATTCCATTCTTGTTTGACATTCCTGTGCTCAATTCCTCCCATGCAATCACTAGTGAGCCAGAGCAGTGACCCATCTTTTTGATGCTGGCTTGACAATTTGAAGCTATTTTGGAGTTGTTGCTATAGTTTTGTTACTTTTGGTGTTGGAGTTATGGCAGAGCGTTTGGAACTATCCTAGTTAAAGTGAGAGCAAGACAATGAGGTGCACATGTTGTTGTTATGTGCCATGTCTCTGACCTATGGCAATCCTAGGAATGAAAGTCTTCCAAAATGTCCCGTTTATGACAACTCCATTCAGCTCCTCCAAGTTCAAGGCTATGGCTTCCTTAATGGATTCGATCCGTATCATATTTAGTCTTCCCTTTCATCTTCTGCCGTTGACTTTCCCTAATATGATTGCTTTCTTGCCATCTTGTGATGTGTTGGAAGTATGAGAGCCTCAGTTTTGTCCTTTTTGCTTTTATGGAAAGCTGTGTCTTGATCTGAACTAGTACCCACTTGTTTGTCTTTCTGGAGGCGTAGCGTGTTCCCAAAGCTCTCCCTCAGCACCATGTTTAAAATACATCCTTTTTCTTCCCGGCAACTTTCTTCACTGTCCAGCTTTCATGCCCATGCATTGCAATTGGGAATACCTTGGTCTCCAGTGAAACATGCTTACACTCCATCCTTTCTAGTTCCTTCATTGCTGCCCTTTCCACTCTCAGTCATCTCTGAATTTTGTGGCTGCAGTTTCCCTTTGAATTGATGACTTAGCTGAAGTATATGAAATCTTGCTACTGAAGGTATGTTTTATTGAAGTCCAACGAGTTGTTGTTAGGAATCCAACAAAATTCTCTCCTCTTCCTCTTGCATGAGTGCCTGGGTACTCATTAACAAAACCATTTACTAGCTCATTAGGTGCCATCGAGCTAATCAAACCCAAGTGATCCACTTGAGAAGGTTCCCCTGTTCTCTGACAAGGAATGTTTGACTTCCCACAGAACTGTGACAGGACATCAAGTTTCTCTGATGGCGACCACAACTTGTGCTAGTGAATTTCCTGAGTGGAGGCCTCTCTATCCCCTTTACTCATGAACATGCCATGCTGTGATTTTCCAATCCCTATGTCTGGACAGACCTCAGCTGTTAGAAATCTGTGGCAGTGCACAGTGGGTGCCGTCGGGCTGAGTGAGAAATTAACTGAGTTTGTATTTTAATGGGAACCTACTAAGTATGTAGCACCTGAATGCAAACAGAACAGGAACACAGTTAAGATGCTGGAATCTGTAATTTTTTGGAAGTTTGCAATGCATATTGCAAATAAAAATTGATTCAGAAATGCATACACTTTCAAAGGTATATTCACAAAAGGTGTGCATTTGAAAGTGCATACAAATATTGGTATATTTGGGAAATTCATATAAAATGTTTTAATTAATTGAAAGACTGCTTGCAAACATACATTCATTCAGAAAGCTGCTTATGAAAATGCATGTTTCCTGAGCATCCCCATGAAAAGTTACACGAACTAAAAGAAAATGTTGCAATCTGACGTGGAGCTGGGATGCTAGCAGTGGAAAACGGGAATCTTGATGAGACCAAGGTGGACAGATGTGCTATCCCTGGTGTGCTGAGCATGTTTTCCTGGGCCTCAGCCAAGGCAGAATAGAGGGCGAGCCTGTGTGGTCCTCGCTGCACCACAGAACACCAAACCCCACATAATGCCAGCCCCCCATCCTTATGTACTCAGAAGCAGGAGTCCTGAATCCAGTGGGGTTCACTTCACACTGCATTAGTTCCTATTTTCTAGCCAATATGCTTTAGGAAAGGGACAGAGCCAAGACACGCCATGGGGAGGCTTGGAAATATCCTTTACCACCCCACTGCCATGCACATTTCACTCAGGCCCGAGACAGCTTGGGAGCTCCACAGCAGTGGAGATCTGAACCGAATCCTGCACTCTAGTCACTGTACCACAGTGGCTCTCCTTTCCAAAACTGTCACACTGATATGCTCCTAACACCAATCAGTCAGGGCTTCTTGGGGAAAAAATGTAAATGTAATTATTTACAGCCATATAGCATGTTCTTCTCATTAAAACCTTGATACTGCAAATTCTGCACCCTTGAAGTTCTCAAAAAGTAACTCTCCCCATTCATTCCATACATATTTCAGCATTTACCTAAAACATTATCATCCATGTGAGCCTCCCCCAACCTGGTGCCTTCCCAATGAGTAAGATCACATCTCTCATCACTCATGACCAAGCTACCTGGGGATGACAAGAGCCATATTTATTTTTATTCATTTCAAGTATTGTTATGTCTGCCTTCAGGAGTGGAACCCTCTATGGATAACAATCGTTTGAAAGAGGCTGATCTATATTATTATCTATATCTATCTATATTATACTGGCTACCTCTTTTGAAGCAGTAGTCTGAAGCTGCAGGCCTGAGTGTACCATCTTACTTTCCTTCAAGTTAATGAAAAGCTAGGTCTTATCTGTAATCAGCTACAAACTAAACACTGAACTGGAGGTAGCTACATTCAAAATGAGGGAATATAAACAACTAACTTTACAGTAACTATAGGAAACAGAAAAAGAAAGATGAAAGCTAGAATACACAATCACTAGAGAATAACTCTCCTTGAAACCAGTGGTACTTAATTCAGTGTAAAATTGATAGCTATTTTTTCGCAGGCAAACAATTATACTAAAACAAACAAACATACAAGTGTGTCTAAAACCCCAGAATATAGCTGCCAGGTTTGCGACACAGACACGCATCTGCTCAGACACAGACACGCACACACATCGACCCCACTTCCAGGCCTCCACCATTTCCTCTCCTCAACAGGGCCAGGAGATGGGGCACTGGCACACCGGGAGGCGGCCTGCCCCCGTGGGGCTGGGTAGCACTTGCAGCGGCGGAGGCTGGGGGTGTGGGGAGAGCAGTGGCAGCAGAGACGCAGCAGTGGAGAGAAGGAGATGCAAAGGTGGCCACGGTGTGGGGAAGGAGATCCGGAGGAGGAGGCAGCGGTGGCAGAAGCGACGCAAGGGAAAGGGCAGGAGTGGCAGGCAAGAGAAGTGGGAGAAAAAGGAAGGCAGGCAGGAAAGGCTGTAGGGAAGGAATTCTGGAGGAGGAAGGGGCAAAAAGGAGTCCCGCCGAGAAAGCTGCAGGGGAGAAAAAAGGGGAGCATTTCAACACCCTTGCCACAGCTCAAATTGCCCTAAGATCAATGTAACCTTGGGAATGAAAAAGGATGACAAACGCTCTGTGGACCTCCAAATCTGCCTGTCCCTGATGTACATCTTGCCCCCAGGCTCAGATCTTTGGGGCCGTGTATTCAGCCCCACGAAAAGAGGAGGCAGGTGGCCCAGTAGGGTGGATTCTGTTTGCGGTGCCTTCTCAGCACTTGGGACAAATACCACTGCTGTCCCACCTCAGGCAGCAAACACTCTGGGCTTATCCTGCAGATGACAGTTATGGTATGGGGCAGCAACATTTGGTTGATTTCATTCATTTCAGGTTTGTTTTTTTGTTTATTTATTTATTTAGAGGACTTCTATGCCGCCCCATTCGCCAAAGCCTTGGGGCGGCTCACAACCATAAATAAATAGAATCCAATAAAACAATATAAATTAACAATATAAATTTGTTGCAAGATTTTGTTCAGGGTGTCAGTCAAGCAACCATCTTCAGTAGTATATTTCTACCATCTATTTTTACCAGTTCCAGTGCATTTTGGCAACCCTGTAAAATTGTTAAAATACTCAATATTTTTCTTGTATGAATTGCTCGATATATACAAGGGAACATACTCTTCAAATTTAGGTAGCAGTTTTTAGGTTTATTGGCAAAAGATCTGCCATCCTTCCTCATTTTCTTTTGTTCTTTCAGACGTTATCTTAGAAGACTAGAGGGGGTTCTCTTTAATTTTTGTATGTGTGCACATTCTGAGAGATTCACCTCATCTAAAATTTGTTTAACTTGAGCATTAATTTATGTTCTGCTTCTAGTATAGTCTTGTCAATAAAATCCTTTCCTTTTCATTCTTCTCCTTTAAATAAATGGTAATTACACTATTTGACCAATGATAAAAGCCATCATATCTAAATCAGCAAGGACAAAAATCATAGAATTATAGAATAGCAGAGTTGGAAGGAGCCAAGAAGGCGATCTGGTCCAACATTGTTGCTGGACACCAATTGGAATCATCCCACTCAGAGGACTGTTCAGTTTCTTTCTGAATGTCTCTAGTGTGGGAGACCCCTTCATAGATCATTGCCTTGTCGTGGCGAAGGGGGCTTGCGTAGCTCAATGAAGCTCTGAGCTATGCCGTGCGGGGCCACCCAAGACGGACAGGAAATAGCAGAGAGCTCTAACAAAACATGATCCACTGGAGAAGGAAATGGCAACCCACTCCAGTATCCTTGCCATGGAAACCCCATGGACAGTACCAAAAGGCAAAAAGATATGACGCCAGAAGATGAGCCCCTCAGGTCAGAAGGTGCCCAATATGCTACTGGGGAAAAGCGGAGGGCTAGTACTAGTAGCGCCAGAAAGAATGAAGCGACTGGGTCAAAGCTGAAAGGACACTCAGTGTCGTGCCTAACAACTCAGGGGAGTCGTTAGCACGTGAAAGAGGGCCAGAAGCCTCCAGCGAGGATCAAGCTTTAGAGCAGGAAGAGTTATACTTGATGCCCATGGCACAAACACCCCCCACCACCTGACTCTGAAGTTTTGGTGCAAGTTCCTGAGAATCAGGTTGGACAGTTGGTTGCATGGAGAATGCCCAGCTGAGGAGACTTCCACGCTTAGACCAATTAGAAGGGAAACAAAGCGAAAGGAGGGAGAGAAGTTTATCTAGCCCCCGGAGAGAGGGACGGACGAGGAGGTTAAGATACACGTAGTAAATCTCAGAGAGGTCAGAAAGGAGGGGGCAACTGTGTCGCTTAGAACCATCAACGGCAGCTCCTGTACTATCCGTCGTACACATAAATCTTGTAGTCGTTTGGAATAAAAGGACTTTAAGCTTTTATTGCCTGCGTCTGTGTGAGTAATTGGGACGTGAGTTACGGCCTCACGGCACTCAGTCGCGGATGTATCTGGTGAGGTGAAATGTGACATCCCTCCTCCCTGGACAGATCTAGAGGTGGGGTGGAGGGAAGAGCTTACCTCTGTTCCCTGCTGCTGGGTTGGATTCACAGCCACGTCAGCACCCCAGCCAGTGAATCCTTCCCTTGCACAGGGGCCCACCTTGAGAGCCTCAGGGCCAGCATGGGCCTAGACTGCACACTCAGCTACCATGGTGGGTTTGGCTGATGGCTGTGATCAAGTGCGCTGTTCCATGGAGAGGAGGAGGAGTCTGACGCTTCAGGTACAACATGGCCTGCTCACTCCAGTCCCTTGTCCATCTGGTGCCTGACTGCAAGTGGTGGGTGTGAAAAAATAGTTCCCTTGCGGCAACTGGCTGCAACCGACCCACCTGTGGTGGGGCGGTGTGTCCAGCTCCTGGTCCCCCTGAAACTTTAAGCTGAAAATTCTCCCAGACCTCTGACTAGAATGCGGTAAGGAGGAAGTAACAGAGGCAAGGAAAAACAAACAAGGGTAGAGCACATGTCTATATAACTAAAGAAAGAGCTTAATAAGCAACAGAAAGTGAGCTTTTAAGAACACCAACTCAACCAGCCTTGTGGATGAGCCATTCTGGGAAGTCAGGACAGCTCTTCTCTGATGCGACAGTTTGGGCCTGCCTACATGATCCACAGGACTATTCCATTTCTGAGGTGAAGGAATCGCTATCACACATCTCTAGATTTTCATTTTCATCGTGTGTGTGTCTGTGTGTATAAGTAATGATAGGCACTTACTAATTAGGAATATAAACTTGCTTTAGCTTGCTTTCTGCTTCTGCAGCTTTCAACCGTTTCTTAATGCAAAGGCAAAAACAAACAAATTAGAACATAAAAACAATCCATATTTCCCCCATCTTAACATGTACTAAAAGCTATCTTAGTAAACAAGAAGTCAATTCACCTCTTGGAAACAGGGGTTGCTGTTCATCCCTTTTGTTAACATCATGGATTTATTTAGCAGTTTGTGAACACTATAAATCAGTAGGGCTGAAAGTATTAATCAATACATGAATGCAATTACACATGAAGCAAGGCAGAATAAAACAACAGAATTATATAATAGACAAAACCCTATGAAGTAACTGCACTGAACTATTTGTATGCCACTTCAATGAAACAATTATTTAGGAGAGTTCATAAACAGGATGCTCACATTTCTAAGGTAAACCAAATTACTACAATCCAATATGCTCAGAATATTCCAAATTGAAATATTTAAGCAGTTAAGTGATCTACAGATTTAAATGTCTGAAACAACCAACAAGCTTTTTCATAAGACTAAGAAGTTCAGGGAGATTTGTAGAGACTTCCTAAAAATTGTTCTTCAAACTCTTGTATATTTATCCAACAAAGCATTTTTCTGGACCCTGCTCTTCCACTGACAGCTCACAACTTGGCTGTCAGGTCACCTGCCTGCTCATCTGTGAAGGCAGAACAAGTCATCTGAGTTGTGCCATTCCCATTTCTGTGTACCTCTGGAGCAGGGGCAGCACAACCTTGTTAACTCTGTTGCATCAATGGACGCCTACCAGGAGGGCAAGCCATGCTCAAAATGCTCGTGCTCGTGAGTTTCAGGCACAGGGACCCAACATTTTGGTCAGTACCACTGCTAGATAACCTCGACCTCTAGCTTCTTGCCAGCCCAGCCTGTTGTGTGGCTCAAAACACGATCTTCCCAGAGAAACCATGAAGCTGCAGGGATCAAGATGTTTGGGACATCTGTCCAGCAAGCAACACAATGGGCAAGGTGCCCCTTCGGCACTTGGCTCTGCACCTGCCTCTGCTGCTCAACCCTTCTGAGCAGGTTACCAGGGCCCGCTGGGCAGTGGTTGGCAGCATCATATCCTCAGGCCCTGGACTGACCCGCCCCATCTGAGGTTGCCATTTGGATTCCTCTGGGCAGGAAGAACTGTAAGAGAGCTAGTTGTCCCAGTCAAGCTTTGCTTGAGCAGTAAGGTCTTCCCCAGCCCTGCTGTCCATGGCTCCCTTGGCCATCCTTTGGTCCTGCCTCGCTCTGTGCCTCTGGCTTATTCCTCAATTATGCTGCCTTGTTTGCCCTTCTGTCCTGACCACTGGCTTTGTTTCATGGCGCCTAATTCTCCTCAGACTGCTGCCCACAACCCACCCCAGAGACTCTGATCTGGATCCTTGGAAAAAACAGCTTCCTCCTCATGAGTGGGAAGGGAAACCTCAGGTCGCCAGACAGAATTCCCCTAGGCTGTGCTGCTAGTTGTCTCCTTGGTCCTTGAGGTGATCTTGGTCACTCGGCAACAAGGTTGGGCGCACTGGTTGCCCTGGACCTGTGGTCTGCCCAGAGTGAGGTGTTTTCCCGGATGAAGTCAGCAAGAGGAACGTCCTCTTCTTCCAGGTCCTGTCTAGTTCTGGCCTGGTCTGGCCTGAGGTGAGACATGGCAAGCAGTCACAGCACTGCCAGTACAGCCTGGTGGCCGTGTGGGTCTTGCTGGGCTCCTGGGTCCCTGGCACAGAACCAGAGGCCTTAGCACTAATGTGGAAACACAAGTGTCCTTCTATTTCTTGGAAGTTACACGGAAAACGTTTGCCACTCAAAAATGTGTATTCCAAACCGATCTGCCCAAGAATGCCAGGTTCCAGATCCCATGATACGCAAGTTCCTCCACAGAATGCAAATTTATAGTATATACTGTCAAGGCTTCCAGGTTACAACCACAGAGATGACCATCAGACAAAAAGGAATCACACAGCTATACTTCAGGACATAAGCCTTCCTCTGCATTGCAAATGCCCAATAATAAGGAAAAGCTATTTAAACCAGGAACAAAATCCACAGACAACATAGCTGTCCTTCATTTAGCAAAGGACTATTGGGTCTTTATGACAATTGCTTCTTCCATGTATGAGTTAGAGGGTTGTCTCTGCTACCCAAAATCAATCCACAATCTTTTCTGAAGGCACTGAGGCATCTGCCCATCATACATGACTGCTGACCCTTTCAAAGAGAAAATCAAAGCTTCAGATAATCCATACATGGGTCAGCAAATGAGTATAAAGGGTTAAAAAGCTCACTATCAGAAAAATTCCAATTTTGAGTTCAAAGCAATAGCTGCATTTTGGAGTCAGTGTATTACATGGCTCTTACCTGCTGAACGTAACGATCTGTTGTTTTCCACATGTAGTAATACTCAATTATGCTGGTTAAGGATTTCCATGGAAGCTAGGAACACACAAAAGAAAACCTCCTGAGACATCAAATCTACAAGATCCTACCAATAGAAGCCTTGAATAAAATAATTTCTGGACACAAAAAGCCAGGCTGAAAAATTCCCAAACATATAGACAAGAAGGTACCCTGAAGCCAGGTGTAGCTGCCTAAGAGGACAAACCATTTATTCGGCCTTGTACAGGGCTACGAACACCAAGACACGATATGCCAGATCAGAAAACATGCAAGCTTGCAAGTGGGAGCCTGAAATATTCTTTCCACCCTGGACGGTTTCATATAGAGAAGCAAATCTTTAGACTGTTCTATGGTCAACTAAATAAAAACTCTTCCTTTGTAAGGAAAAATAAAGCGTAAGCCCATTTTCATAAGCTGACCATACACTCTACCTCTTATAGGGTAGGGGTCTGACTGATGTTGAAAGAAGTACAGTAGCTTCAATCCTTCCCATCTTAATTGTAACTGGTTTTAATCCTTATCAGCACTAGATGAGATGTTAGCATATCTGAGAAGATGCACTGTAACTGATAAGTTGCTGTTTACCCAGAAGCAAAAAAAAAAAAAAAAAAAAAAGGAATTTACAGCTCTGCCAAAATTCTAATTTGTAACATTTGGGTAGTTTTCCCCTACTTTGAATGAAACTATGAGCAAGTGTACCAAACGAATTTCATTTTAAAATTATTGTTCACGTTTCAAAAAACCCTTTGTAATAGCTGATCAAACACCAAATTATCACAGAAGAAATCATATTTTCACAACCCCCTTTTAGTAGGCAAAGTAGTTTTGAAACTACCAGAGGATAGCGGAAAATATTATTACCTTTAAAAGCCCCACATAAACACATTATACCCTGAATTTTAAAAATCTGATTTAATGCCACATTTTAATGGTGCAAGCTGATCTCCTCACTGCAGACTTCCATGTTTTTTGCCCAAGGAGGATTACAGGGTGGGGTATCTGAATGCCTCCCGCCTACTTACAAAATCTTGCTGAATGTCTGTGAAATCTTTTCCATATTTTTCAAGAGCTTCTTCAAAGAGATTAGCCTCGGAAGCAGACCACTCCTCCATTTCATCCCTGCACAAAACGGGCCCACCCTGCGGCACGAGGGCAGAGATCGCCTTGGAAATGTCATAGACGTGTTTGTGCAAGGTATCCATGGCATGGAACTAAATGATGAAACAAACCAAACATGAAGTGCAAACTTTTCAATATACACAATACATCTGAAAATCACAAGGCTATGAAATAAAATAAGGTGACTTGACATATGTGTTCTAATAAAAAGAATATTACAATTCTTTAATAACAAACTGAAGTTTTATTACCAAAGAAAGAGCAACATTGCAATATTATTAACCACATTCTGTTTGCACAGGAAACCCTTTCCTCCTCCACAGATAATTAAGAATCTCCATTTCAGAGACCTTGTGGTAAATCAGATGCAATTATATAAATCATTTAAATAATCTTAAAAAAATGAGAAATAATCTGATGTATATGGTTTTTGTACCATTATAGCAGAAATATTATTTCACACTGAAAATCCAACAGTAGCGTATTTCCTTAAATGCTTACCAGTGTGATATCCCTAGAAGCTGCTGCAGCACTCATATGCAAACTTGGCTGCCGAACAGAACTGCTGCAGTCCAGAGCACGTGCAAATGTTCCAACAGAACTAAACAATAGGGAAAAAGTTAATTCCCCATGTAAGAGGAAACACGCAAAAGAGAAACTCTGAAATAATGTTTCTTATTCTTCTCTGTTGCATCCTTCTGTAAGGAACAGGTACATACTATTCTTTTCTACCACCCAAAATATATTTTGCTCCATACTCATGCTCAATTTTCCCTCTTGTAGTAGCATATAAACAGACTTGAGAATTTCATTTTGCAGGAAATGCAGTATCACAACAACTGTGTGCTTCCATTGGGCTTTACCTGGTTTATACAACTTGATGCTAATCCAGCAAAGAGTGACTGTGGGGGTGCACTGCAAGAAAAGGATGCCATCACAAAATCTTGTTTTGATCCAGGAGTACCTTTCTGGTTATATACTGCCATACTGCCTCTGATACAGGAGGCAGCATATGCACAATCAGGACTAGCAGCCACCGTTAGCCAGATCATATAGGATTTTGTCTCGTAATCTTTTAAAGCCAGCCAAACTGATTGCCATCTCTGCATCTTGTGTTAGCAAATTCTGTAATTTCCTACGTGCTAAGTTCCTGCTTAAGTTAACACAAACATAATATGTGCAAGTTTCTCAACTAATTTTAATCCCAGACAGATTAATTTCAACATACAGATGCAGCTTTGGAAGCACTGCATATACATCTGTTATCGACAGAATCTATATCAAGAAAACAGCAGCTTCTACCAGGGTGGGGGAAGCAGGCAACAGACCGCGCAGGGATGCCTCTTCTCAGGTATTGAAACTGGGACTAAAAGATTAGGGCTCTGCATTCAGACAAAAAGCTTCTACTGTTATTTACTATTTATTGATTGTATTGATATCCTGCCTTTACTCCTGCAAGAAACATTATCTTTGTCCTGAGGTAGTTTATTTCAAAACTATGATGGACAGAGTTTTATATGGTTGATGCTTATGCCAATATCTAGAAACGCTGTAGTTGCATGGTCTCTCAACATCATCTGAGATACTATAGGACTCTTCAGAGTCTGCATTCCCCCAAATCACAGCTGGTGTGGAAAGAACTGTGCCAGCTGCACCCCGACCTGCGGCTGCAACTGGGCCAGAGGGAGGGGTGAGCTGGGAGCAAGGAGGGAAGGAGGCTAGGTGTGGAGAGTGCCCCAGGGTCCTTCCCCTCCCCTCCTTAGCCTTAAATTTAGACGCTGAAATGGAAACAGAAATTGGCAGTCTAAATAAATAAATCAAGCACAGGACATGACAGACACTCAGTGATGCCAGGGGTCACTGCTGCCATGCCTCACAAGTGCACTGAATATTGTAGGCCTACAAAAGTTTCAACTCTGCACAGAAAATACAGGAAAAATGTCACTCCCTGAAAACAGGGCAGGGAAAGACTACTGCCAGAATTCCATTCACGAATGGTATGGAAACAGCAACAAGCTTAAGCAGCAAGACCTGATTCAAAGCATGAGATCATGCCTTTATATATTTCTTCATGTGGCAAACAAAAACACCATCAAATCCAATGAGTATAAACAAAGAAGAAGCACTCTTAACATTCTTTTCAGCTCAACAGGAGTTGTGAAATTCTTTCATGAAGACAAAATCAAAGGCTGAATTTTTCCAGTTAATACCGGTGAACACTAGAAAAAATGAGTACCAAATGTGAAATACCTGAAAAGTTTGCTTTACTCCCAAAATAAACCATTGCTATTTCCAAACTCCCATTGTTAGCTTCAAGGTAATGGTATTGTAAGATAAAATTACCACGCTTTTTACAGTAAACATATGAAGCAGAAAAAAAATATATAAAAACCAAATAACTGATCAGTGTCAACCGGTCATAAGAAAATCACCAGATGAAGAGGCAAATGAGAATATTTTCTCCTTACCGTGCTACTACAAGAAATTGGTCTATTTGCTTATCTCTTAGTGGATTAAATGCTTCCCAAATTTTTGTTTCAAGTTTTGATTGATCTCTGCCATCATCCTCACCTAAAAAAAAAAAAAAAGAATTGTACTAAAATACCTGTCACAAAACAAAACCTAAAAGACTGATTTAAGGCTTTCTTTTCACCTTGCTTGAAAAATACATTTAGCAGATACAGAACAAGTCTAACTCCTATTCTTCACAGAATTGGAAGGGGATGAAATGTTCAAATCCAGCATTACGGCAGTACAGGGTTATCCAACAGCAATCATCTATTACCCCAAAGAATTCACAGAATCACAAAACAATGCTATGGGAAAAGAACTTGCCTGCATAACTACACATCAAGCTAGCATGTCAAGTCACCTTTGCTAAGCAGAAAGGCATGGGTCTGAGCCAGATGGGTGACCAGTAAGGAAGGAGAGCCGGAGGTTGGACTCCATGGTCTTACAGGCCCCTTCCCACTCTACTTCTGTTCTGTTCTGTTCTACTGAACCCCCACCTATGGTAAGAGAGGTGTACTTAAGCAGATTGTGTCTATTCACCCTTAGTAAAAGTTAGTTGTAGAGAATTCACACTTGTTAATCTAATTATCACTACAATTATATGAGTGCTTGGAAATGCATTATGAAAACACAGTATTTATATTCTTATCTCTGCAAATAATTTCACAGCAAAAACACCCCATGTCAAAACTGCGTGACTCTGGACAGATTTATCCAAAAGGAAGAGGAGACAATTTCCTCGTGCAATTTAGTCTTTGGTGGTGACAGGAAAGCTACAGGTTCTGTTAAGTGGCATGTATATGTGTGCGTTCATTCATCTGTGCTTGTGCACACACACTCCCCTCAGACATCACATCTGGCCAATGGATCTGAAAAGGCTGTGCACTCCAGCTTAGAATAAAAAGCATTAATGCCTCAACATGGTAACAGAATTGTTACAGCACTGGGGCACTGAGTTTACCTGCATATATATCAAGCAAAAACTAAGACTTGTTCATTATTGTGCATAGATTTTGTTTTTAACTTGGCATAACAAAGAAAGGAGTTTGTTTACTTCCGTTTACAGTTATTCTTCCTGTTGAAATAATCCACTAATATTTTTCTCTAATTCTTTGGCTTTAGCTTGAGCACATAGTTACATTAAATAGCTTACTGAATAGGCAGTTTTCAAGAAAATACACTTTCAAATGAGCCAGGCACAGGAGAAATTGAAAATCTGCCCCACCCCCATGCTGTGCTGTGCTATTCCACTTGGGTTCTCATTCTCTTTTCTGAATTTTTTTCTGCTTTGCTTTCACCCATTAAGGTGAGCAAGCTGAAATTATTTAGATTGGGGGATAATTTTTCTTCTACATAGTGTCACTGAACTGAATTCTCCCTATGCTTCTCCTGACTTTCCTGATCATTCACTCTATTTCACTTTTTGCAGCCCACAAAATACTTGCCTTACACAACAGGCATTTTAAGAATGAAATGGCTGTAACCCTTATTTTTACTGGGGACTGGAGGAGGCAGTGAGAAAAAGCACACACACCCCCTGCAAGGCTTCACGAAGTATTGAGGGTGCTTTTTCCTGACTGACTCTCAGTGGTTTTGGCAAATGCATGCCACCTGGGCTTTGCTCTATCCTCAACAGATACTTTGGAAAAACTAACAGGATTATTCCCTAACATTCTCTTGGAACTTTATCAGTTCTTTGGTATTCTGGGAAGCGGAGGACAATAAAATGACTGTGCTGGTGATTCAACTGCAAACTGCAGAAGCATGACAAATACAGAGCTGAGAGTCCATTTGTGAAATTGTTCTATGGTAGTGACAGCAGCAAAGAAATCCTACTTCATCATTGCGTCAGCTCAGTGCTATCTAGAAGAGTTCTTTCAGGTAAGTAAAGGTCTCTTGAGTGTAGGCTCTACAAAACAACAACTTACGAAGGCCCACTGTAAGCAATCGGCTAGACATTTTGAGAGGTCTTCATATCCATTCCAGTCTGCATGTTCTTGTAATGACAGTCTGTGATGCAGCAGGCTAGTGCACCATCTACCTTTCGGCCTGTCAAACTGAGGACATGGACAAACTGCTTGGAGGACAAGCAGTCTATTGTCTATTTTGGATTGCGGAATCTGACAGAGTTGGGCTAAATAGCCAGACCTGTGAGATGATCCATGCCTTCTTCAGGGATGATGAGATTTCTGCAACTTCGAAAGACGTGGCAATCAGGTCCTTGTTGAGGAAGCCAAATTTAAATCCTATGGTTTGGCTAAAGTGTAAAATTGGCCATTCTTGGGCAAAACATTGGAGTTTTTGGTGGCCTCACCACTCCAAAGATTATACTTATTTATTTAGTTACAGTCCAATCAGGCTTCAGACTTGATTATCGATGGAGAAAGGAAGGGGAGAGTACAAGCCTTTGTTCTTCTGGAGCTCTCGATATCTGGGTAGGTCTCCTTATGCTCAGTATGCAAATGGTTCCGACCCTCCTGGAGAAGGGATCTTAGATGGTAGTGCTAGTGAATTTCTGCTATGCTCTGTGGGATGTTGCAAGGTTCCATTCTGTCCTCCATGCTCTTCACGTGAAACTGCTGGGGCAGCCATCAGAAGGTCAGGACTGTGTCATCAGTGCACACAGACAACACGCAGCTGTATCTCTCATTGCCATCAATTCATTCCAGGGAGAATGCGGACACTTGAATCAATGTTCAGAGGATTTTTTGAGGTGAATAGGCTGAGACTTAATCCATACAAACTGGAAGTACGATAGGTTGCTTTAGATTAGATTGTATTCTTCTAAAAGATCAAGTGCACAGTCTGTAAGTCCTCATGAAGAAGCTCAAGTAGCTGCAGTGATCTCAACTGGGTTTAACCAGCTTAGGCTGGTACACCAGTTATGGCCCCATCTGGAGAGAACGGGCCTTGCCTCTGTTATCCATGACATCCAGTCTGGACTACTGTGATGTCTTCTTTTGTTCTGTTAATTGTGAATTTCACCAAAAAAAATCTACATAACAGAGATGAAGGGGGAAAGATGGCAGCATGAACAGCAGTATTTGTAGGGAATAGTGTAATTACTTGAAGTTCTCTCATTATTGGTGAACTAATGAGGGTGTATTTTTATACTTTTCTTACCCCAACTGTTTGTCACCTTTTCCTGTGTGCTGTAGTTTGTCAATCTATGTGACCTCACTTTTTGAGGTTTTCTTGCCCATTTCTTCTTTACCTCTTTGCTTATCTCCTCTTTCTTTGGGGCATAATACAACTGGAACACTTGCAGACTGAACAGTGCAGAACTACAGTATACTTGTCTGCTGGTTTGGCCTTCCTGCCACCTCTTCCCCATACATGTAGCTGCTTCTTCTTTCCCATTTTGGGATAAAAACAAGAGGGGGGTTTCTACTGAGTTAAGGTTTGCACAACTGCCAGAACGACATCAGATTTAAAAGCACGTTGGAATGAATGGGGAGTGGATAGCAGTCTTCATAAATTACAAAAGATTGCAGAAAACATGCCAAAGAGTGGAATCTCAGATATCTCTGGAGGTATGTATGTATGTATGTATGTATTTATATTGCGATGTATATCCTGCCTTTTTCCTACAAAGGGCTCAAGGCAGCTTACATCATCTCTCCTCCTCCATCTTATCCCCACAACAACAACCCTGTGAGGGTAGGTTGGGCTGAGAGTCTGTGACTGGCCCAAAGTCACCCAACCGGCTCCATGGCTGAGCGGGGACTAGAACCCAGATCCTCTGAGTCCCAGTCCCATGCTCTTAACCATTATACCACAATGGCTCTCGTTAATGTGTTCTTAGAAATGACCCGTATCTCTGGACAAAGAGGCTGAGCGCTGGGTTCCCACAGCTGCTTCAGAAGATGGGGCCACTGATGAGAATGAAGCAATATCCAACAGGTAGTCTTCTAGGCCAGAAGGTGGAGCCTCTGGCAGTGGTCCAAAGAGTACAGGAAATAATGACTGGTGAAAGGGGAGCAGTGGCATTTTGCAGAGATGGTTCCTGAAGGGTCGCAGGTCAAGGAGCAAACAGTGGGGCTCTAGGCAGAGGTGGTGAAAGCATCCAGAATGTAGAATTTCTAAAGAAGTACTCTCACCCCACAAATAGGGTTCAGAATGGTGCTCCAATTTTTTACCAAGGATTGTAGAAGGCATCTCAATCCAAAGACCCCATGGGTCATAGCATCCTCAGTAAAATGGTGGGGTGGATCATTCTGATTGCCCATCCCAGCCCAAGAGAGGAAATCAAGAGCAGCCTACAGTGCTCAATTCTGATACAAGCCAACTCCATCGACACTGATGAGATGGCATCCAACCAGCACAATCCTGAGGCTGTAGGAGGAGGACAAACCTGTGGGATGAGATGATGTGTCTTGGATCTCACCTTCCGATACCAAAGTTGCTGAGACCAGTTCTTGTCTCAGTACCACAGGGTCAGATTTGAGCATGCTAAGTACTGATGGATCTTGCCAGGTTGGCTCAGAATGGTGACCCTTCGAATGCCACATATTTCCTTCACTGCGCAGCTTCTGCCAGTTTGACTACTGTGGCCCTCTTTGCCTATTTCTTGACACTGAACACCTTCAGTGAGCATCCAGGCATTAGCAGCATGGTCTGGACCATGGTTCGAGCCCCAGCCAAAGCAGGCACATTTGGAGGAGGGGCCGGGGCCTCCGAAGTAGGCAGGCAGTCTTTCTCCACAGACTTGGAGGAATCTATCACCTTGCTCCACAGCTCCACTCTTAGTCTGCAATTTTTCTGTTTGGTGAAGATCTGGCAGGGAGGGAAGGACTGTACCAAATGGCCTTCTCCAGGCAGAAGGGAAAAGGGAGAGACCCATGTAACGTCTGCTCCTATGGCAGATGTACTTTCTGAAGGGTTTCTTCAGTACCACATCAAACAAGAAGGCTATATATAAAAAGATCCAAAGCCTTGTGGAGTATTCCGCTCAAAAGGTTTCACTTTCATTTTTACTACATGCTCCTCCCTCCTCACACTTAGCTTCTTCTGCAGATCTATTCCTCTCCCAACAATCTTCTTCTATACATTGATTGATATATATTGCAACCTATCACTTAAGAGGTAAGGGATTGATTATCTTACATAGATTTGCAAAGGACCAATGGGTTTAAGGTGTTTTTCTCAACTCTGTTTATTTAGTAACACTTTTGCTGTGAAGAAGAGGCATGTGATCTCTGCAGTCAAATTCACAGCTTTGAGAACTGTAAACCAAAGCATCTGTGACAATATATTCTAGATAGAAAAAATGCCCAATAATCTTACAGAAACTTCTGGGAAAGCATGACATTGTGAATGGATTAATGGAATTCATTTACCCCAAAATTTAAACAATGCATGAATATAAAGCTTCATGCTACATAATTAAAAGCTAATTAAATTTAATTATTTCATGATGAATAACCTTTGGACAGTAATGTATGTGAAACAGAAAGCTATCTTTAGATAGATTTTTCCTCAAGAAGCATTTTATTTTTAAAAAATCTAGTTTAAAATTTCAAAATCCCATTTTCTATTTAAAAAAGAATCACTGATTTTTATGCACCCTGATTTCAAGGCATTTCAGACCCTAAATTAAGTAAAGTCTATGGAACTTATACTATCCAGCATACAAAATGAAATTTTAGGTTTATATTTTTAAAATGTGTTCCATTCAGAAAGTACTGAAGATTTTGTACAGAAACTGGAACCCAAAGTCTGGGGTTATACAGAGACGTTTTAGCACCTGGAGCAGGTCAGTGCCATGAAAACGCTTATAGGCCTTGCCGCACAGACTATTGGGTATCAGAGCCTTTAACACAATACTTCTTGAAACTTTTAATACATGAAACCTTTCTAGGCTTATACTGGGATGAGAAATGGAATTACCTTCTTCCAGAAAGTCTGATATATCAGCCTGATATCTGTTCCCAACTCTGATCTCTCCTTTATCAGCAAGAAGAGTCTTCTGTTGTGGATCATATACTAGTGAATAAAAAAAGAAGTCCTAGAAATAAAAAGGCAAAATAGTATTTTACTATGAAACTGAATACCTTTACGTGGAAGACACTGTGTCTTGGGATTAGGGGAGTACCAGGATTGTGCTCCTTCAGAAGGAAAGGG